CACACACGCACACACACACACACACACACACACACACACACACACACATATATATATATATATATATATATATATATATATATAAATATATATATATATATATATATTATGACGTTAAGACATCTTGTTTCTCCAATATATGGACTAAAACTCTCCATTATCCACTCCTTTATAGGTAATTTTTCCTCTTGTTCTAGCATATTTCTATGGAATTTGGAATAGACGCAATATGTTGCCTTGTTTGGATTGATAGAGTCAGCAATCAAGTCAATATTGTGTTGAGTATCTCTAAAAGGAGGAAAGTCAATAACACACATAGTTGGGTTCGGATAATCGTAAAACTTCGGTAGGAGACAATTAGTGGATCTAATGCTTGGTCCTCACTTCTTTGATATTGATCTTCATCAGTTTCGTACTCTTCACTCCCTTGATTATCTGAATAATTATCATATTGGGCATGGTGCCTTGGTATGCTCATGCCTTGGTCAGCTTCAACTTCTTCAAGTTGCTCAATATATCGTGCTCTATGTGGTTGAATTGGTGGATATTGAAGTGGTAGACGTGGCTGTAGCACTGGTATGTTATATGGTGGTAGTGGTGGTGGAGAATGTAGGTGTTGTGATAGATTTGGTGGCTGATTTTGCACCAAGTGTTCAAATAATTTAGTCAGATTCTCTATTGATTCCTTCAAGTCATCTAGCTGCACTTTAAAGCCATCTAGTTGCACTTTAATTTCTTTGTTGTCTCGCTCAAGGATTCTAGTTCTTAATTTATGAACTTTTATTGTTTGGTGATACGATGAACAAGGTAGCAAATCAAGAATTCGGACCTGGGACTTGCGCTCTGGTACCAAATTGTTGTACTTTCAAGGTTCTGCACCTCTGAAATACAAAGAAGAGAGAAAAATAAAAGTACCCCGCTAAAGAAACCTCATCTACACGTTCCTCAATCCCGCAAAATTGCAAGAAGCGTTGAATAAAGGAAGAAGAATGAAATAAAAGATCAATCACGATTTTGAAGCAAAAGCTTAGAAAAACTAATCACCAATATTTATTTTCAGCATAGTAAGCCCTTTAAATAGGGCTTACAATGAGTAAAATTGATAAATTTAAGGAAAATTACTCCTAATTAAACTAGAATAAGAATAAGGCTAAAAAAACCTATCCCAACTAAAATAGAAAAAAATTCTGGTAAGAATGGGATACCAACTAACAATCCTAGTTTGACTAGAACTACAAATATAATCCTACTAAAACAAGAATTAAATTACTAGGAAATAAGAAATAACAAATCCTAATCTTTAAGGAAAAAAATCTTAATCTCAAATGGATTCTTCACTTCTTGAATTTCTTGGATTTTTAGCATTCTTGATCTTGCATCATTATGTGCGCCAAGTCGCTGCGCTCGTCAAGCAGCTCCAATTTAACTAGCAATGTTTCATTGTTTCTTTCTTCGTCCGCCCGGAAATATCTAATGGTAGGTTCTCCCACTTCTACCGGGATCAGGGCTTCTGCTCCGTATATGAGAGAAAAAGGTGTCTCTCCCGTGCTTGACTTGGTCGTTGTCCGGAATGCGGAAAGCACTCCCAGTAACTCTCGGGCCACTTGCCCTTGACTACTTCCAATCTCTTTTTGAGGTTTTGAATAATCACTGTATTTTTCGATTCTGCTTGGCCATTTTCACTCGGGTGGTATGGCGAAGATGTGATTCTTTTGATTTTCAAGTCTTTAAGGAATTTTGTGACCATTGCGCCTATAAATTGTGGCCCGTTGTCGCAGGCTATTTCCTTTGGTATTCTGAACTGGAAAATTATGTTCTCCCACAGGAAATTGACCATTTCGCGCTTGCTGATTTTCCGGTAAGGACATGCTTCAACCCACTTAGAGAAGTAATCAGTTAAAATCAAAAGGAATCTTACCATACCGGGAGCCGGTGGCAGCGACCGACTATGTCCATCTCCCATTCCATGGATGGCCAAGGCGACAATACCGAATGTAATAGTTCTACCGATTGATTTACTAACAATGCATAGTGTTGACACTTGTCGCATTTCTGAACAAATGCCTTAGCGTCTTGTTCCATCCGGGCCAGTAGTATGCTGCCCTCACTAAATTGAACACTAACGAGTCCGCACCCGAGTGATTTCCACAGATTCCTTCGTGAACTTCTCTCATGACGTAATTAGCCTCGGAGGCTCCTAAACATCGGGCTAACGGGCCTTGGAAAGACTTTCTATACAACTGGCCTCCCTAGATGCTGTAACGAGCTGCTTTGGTGCAGAGTGCCCGCGATGCCTTTGGATCTTCGGGTAGTTTGTCGTGCTCAAGATAGTCGATGATCTCATTTCTCTAGTCACAGACCAAATTGGTCGCAGTTACTTCATAATAACCGTTCACATCCAATACCGAATGCATGAGCTGTACGATCGTACCAGAATCTGATACCTTCATTTCTGTGGATGACCCTAGATTAGCCAGTGCGTCTGCTTCCGTGTTTTCTTCTCTCGGGATGTGGGTGATTGACCATTCCTTGAACCGTGCGAGCAGAGTCTGGACTTTCGCTATATATTGTTGCATGTGTTCCTCTTTGGTGTCGAAGATCCCGTATACCTAATTTACAGTAGAGAACACATTTGATTTCAATGACCTCAGAGTCTATTCCCCGGGTCACTTCAAGTCCTGCAATCAAAGCCTCATACTCAGCTTCATTGTTAGTCAAGGGAAAAGTTCTTAAGTCCTGCCTCAGGGTTTCTCCCGAGGGTGTAATTAATACCACCCCGAGCCCGAACCCTTTCACCTTAGAATCTCCATCCGTGAACAAGGTCCAGACTCCTGATGTCATTTCTGACACCATCACCGCTTCCTTGGTGGCCAAGGTCCGGGGCCGAAATCGGGCACGAAGTCGGCTAAAACTTACGATTTGATCGCAGTCCCGGGTTTATACTCTACGTCAAATTCACTCATTTTGGCTTCCCACTTGGCCAGTCGACCTGACAATTCAGGTTTGTGAAGAATATTCCATAGGGGAAAAGTTATCACCACGGCTATCGGGTGTCATTGAAAATAAGGCCTAAGCTTTCGAGCTGCGACTACAAGAGCTAAGGCCAATTTTTCGAGGTGTGGGTAGCGAGTTTCCGCCCTCGTTAAAATTTTACTAACATAATAGATAGGAGATTGTGTACCTTCATCTTCGCGAACTAAAAAGGCACTTAACGCTACCTCTGAGATCGCTAAGTAAATTAGCAATTGTTTACCTTCCTACGGTTTTGATAGTAATGGAGGGCTTGATAAATACCTTTTCAAATATTTCAAGGCCTGCTGGCATTCCTGAGTCCATGGGAAGTTGTTCTTCCTTTTCAGAACTGAGAAGAAGTAATGGCATTTTTTTGAAGACCGCGAAATGAACCTACTTAAAGCGGCCAGTCTTCCAGTTAACCTTTGGACCTCTTTCACATTTGACAGCTGGTCGGGAATGTCCTCGATGGCTTTAATTTTATCGGTATTGAGTTCAATCCCCCTTTGTGACACCAGGAAACCCAAAATTTACCGTAGTTGGCTCCAAATGCATACTTTTCGGGGTTAAACTTCATGTTGTGCTCCCTTAGGATGTCAAAGGTTTCTTGGAGGTGTTTCGGATGATCACCTCTTCTTTGACAAACCTGTTTGCTTCTTTTGCCTTACTGGAGGGATGTTGGGGTCCAAGCTTAACTTATGCACGACCACCTCTAGCGAAATACCTTTCACATCCGCATGCGACCACGCAAAACAATCAACATTAAATTTAAGAAATTCTATAAATCCTAACTTGAGCTTGGGGTTTAATCCTGTCCCCAAGTGGAACTTCCTCTCTAAGAACTTCTCGAACAATGCAACTTATTCGAGTTCTTTCATTATGTATTTGGCTATGTCCATTTCTTCCGGTACCTGGAAATACCTTGGTACCTAATAAGATTCTGACGACTCCTTCCTTTTGCCGACTTCGTTTGGTTCGGGAGCGGACATCGGTTCCTATAATTGCTATGCCGCATGTTCCTTCCCTTTGCTAATGGAAACCGAGATCGTGTTCATTTCCCTTGCCATCAGTTGATCTCCTCTTATTTGTTTAATTCCCTCTAGAGTTGGGAATTTCAGGAGCTGATGGTTTATGGATGGTGCAACCTTCATCTCGTGTAGACATGGTCTGCCAAGAATAATGTTGTAGCCCATGTCGTCGTCTACTACTTCAAACAAGGTAGTCTTGATGACTCCTTCGGTGTTTGTGGGCAGCAACAGCAAGATCTCCCCTCGGGTTGTCACACTTGCTAAGTTGAACCTAGCGAGGAGCTTTGTGGCTGGAATGATGCTTCCGATTAGCTTAGCTTGTTCCAGCACTCTCCATTGAATGATATTTGTTGAACTTCCCGGGTCCACCAAAACGCGTTTAATTTTAAAATCTAAAACATTAAGAGAACTTACCAGGTCATCGTTGTGCGGTAGTAGGAATCCATCAACGTCTTCCTCCGTGAAGGTGTCGTCTTCAGCGACTTCCCGTCTCTTGCTATGAGTCACCGAAACCTTTGTCTTTTTTGCTGCTGAAAAGGGAACACCATTAATCTTGTTCCCCCCAAAAATCATGTTGATTGTTAGTCAAGGAGGATCTTCTCCTATCTTCGAGGGCTCTGCGTTATCTCAGTTGCGGCCATAGTTATTTTTAGCCTAGTTGCTTAAGACTCTGTGAGATGGACATTTTTCAGCAATGTCTCCACCTCCTTGCACAGATGTCAGCAGTCCTAAGTCCGGTGGCCGTTAATCCTATGATACTCAAGTATCCCTCTGACTGGGATCAGCCTCGAGAACCTTGCTTTCTTAATGTTCCTTATCGCTGATACCAGCTCCACCACACTGACATTGAAATTATACATGGACAGTCTAGGGTAGGTGGGATCCCGGGAGCCTGATATCTCTTTGTCCTACAATGACCTGTTACTCCGGCCACGGTTAGCTCTCTTGTCGGTAGTGAACCTGTCCGCCGATCGGAAACCTCTGCCACGTCCTTTGGCCCTTTCATAGGGCAAAAGCCGGCCTTTAGAAAATCGCCGATCTGTATCGAAATCATCCTTTAACTTCTCCTTGTTCTTCTCTCGATCCCGACCCTTGGTTGATGTCGGGAAACCGAGCTGGTCGTCCTCTATTCTTATCTTTGACTCGTAGCGGTTGTGGACATCTGCCCATGTTGTTGCCTGGAACTCGAGCAGACTTTTTTTTAGTTTTCGGGAAGCGTTAGAGCTCCTCGGGTTCAGCCCCTTAGAAATGCCTCGGTTTCCCATTCATCCGGCACGGCTGGTAGCAACATCTCTTTCCTTCTGAAATCTGGCCATGAATTCTCACAGCAATTCGGACTCTCCTTGCGCAATTCTGAATATGTTGGCCTTTCGAGCATGTAACTTCCTGGACCCGGCATGTGCCTTGATGAAAGAATCTGCGAGCATCTCAAAAGAGTCTATTGAGTGCTCGGGTAGAAGTGAATACCATGTCAGGGCCCTTCATGAGGGTTTCCCCGAACTTTTTCAGCAGGACTGACTCAATTTTGTGCAGAGCTAAGTCGTTTCCTTTCACTGCCGTTGTGTAGGTGGTGATGTGCTCTTGAGGATCCGAAGTCCCATCGTATTTTGGTACGTCTGGCATTTTGAATCGCTTGGGGATTAGCTCTGGTGCCGCGCTCGGTTTGAATGGCAACTGAGTGTATTTCTTCGAGTCCGGGCCTTTCAACAATGGCGGTGCGTCCGGAATTTGGTCCATTCGTGCGTTTTATTTCCCTCATAAATTGTATGAGCTCGATTTTAAAGGAATCATTCCCGTTGTTGTCACCAGATCCGCTGTCGTTTCCCCCGGCCCCGTCGAAGCCATCTTCACCCCTCGAGGGTGTTGTTATCAACCATTCGCGCTATTTGATTTGCATGAGCACCGGGGGGAACTGGACCTCTTCCATTCCCGTTGGTAGGAGCACCCGACAACGCTTGCCTCAATTCTGCCATGACATGATCTTGCCGCGAGAGATGACCCATAATAGCCTTTTGTTGTTCCCTCAAGATTCTCACCGTTTCTGCAACGTGCTCGTCTTCAGCATCATCAGGAGTTGCCTCCCGAACGTGTCGTGGATATTGCCCGCCATGGACCGACGTGGCTACATCCTCCTCGTTGCGGGTGTTAGTGATCGAACCGTTGTGTTCAGGCATATTTCCTTGGGCCTCAACATTATGTGCGATGTTGACATCGTTATCTGTCATTTTTTACGATTTTTTTTTTGCTAAGAAACAAGGAATCAAACAGATTAGTAATATATGCAAAGATCAACTCAATTATGCAACTGTCTAAGCCCCATGGTGGGCGCCAAACCGTAAACGGTACAGTTGAATATGTAATGTAGTTTATAGACAAGCGAATCGATTTGATCCCAAAATGATAAATAAATTAAATAAAATATAAGACTTAGCGTTGAGATCAAAATATGACAGCAAATAGCTTGGTTCTAAGAATATCAAAAGACAGAAAATAAAGTATGAGCTTAGAACAATGTGTAGCATAAATTTGTCAGAATTTTTCGTCACTTACAATGGTTGTTGAAGTCATTATTTATAGCTAAACCTAGGGAACAAGGTCCTAGAATCAAGTCCCTCTTAAATGATAATTATGGAGGCCATTGATGAATGTGTAACGACAAACTATGAATGCCAAAATTCTCTGTAACGGATTGTGTATTTAATACTGAAGAATATTCTTCATTGAATGTCATCCGGTGGCAAACATTCGTTTGCCTTCGTTAGCAATATTCCCTTTGGGGTCTGCCCGGTGGCAACCGAGGCTGGCGTCCACGGTCTTGGTTTTCACTTAACTCGCTTTCCGTCTATCTCCGGTTTCACGTGTCGCTCTATTATTCGAGTATTTAATACGAACAGATTTTACCTTATACAGTAATAGTGTCCCTTAGTCGCAGTGATGAGACCTTGTGATAATATTATTTCAATTGTAATCCCATCTTATTGACATACTATTTTATTCTGACAAGAATCAACTATTTTGAATTGGCATAAAATGCAGATTCTTCGTTTTTTTTTTTTTTTTTGGGTGATTGTTGTATGTCTTTACGTGAATTAGATACTATAGTTGTTTTCATGCCGTCCTAACGTAGCGTTTTTTTCTTCTAAAATGATAGGAGTACTGAAAAAAAAAAAAAGAAATAATGGAATATGACCTAATACCTATCCCTTCCTTAAATTTAAATACACATCCTAAAAGAATCATGATAATTAACAATCTTCGAAAGGAAAAACAAGCAAGATTCCCTAGTACTCACATTTTACTGCACGAAACTTAAGTATGGTTCCATAACTAAGAAAAATATTAAGTGCTCGTATAATTACATAATTGTTTATATATTGCATTGTCAACTCAATTGAGAAAACATATTTCTTGCTAGTAGATCCGAATAATGAAACAATAAACTTTCTGAAATAGAAACAGAAAGTTAGTAGCGACAGAATGTCGAAATAATATCTGAAAATAATTTTAAAACAAATCGAGCCAGCTGAATGCACAATGTGTTCTTAAGGAAATTATTCCTCTCAAGTACCCGGAATACCGGAATATTATCCTCCTAGGATAGAACGATTTTTGCTCACCAGTATGTTGGTACTAAAAAATATGTTGAACTTCGAACCACTCAATGATTGTAAAACACATTGGAAAATTTTGTGCAGAAGAAGAAGAAGAAGATCAGAAAATTTCGTAATGAAAAATCTGAGGAATCAAACGAATTTATAGCCAATGGAAGCAGAACAGTGACTTAAAAACGGGAGGAAAATTTAAATAAAAATCCTGGAAGAAAGTGAAATGGGTCATGCACGAATCCGATTCGGGTTGGATATTTGGCTAATTTAAATAATAATATTTTATTAAATAATTAAAGAAATTTTGTAATCCGAAGTCGACGTCGAAGCCGAGCGATGATGACGGTGACGCGAGGCTTGCCTTCTTCTTAACTTTTTAAGAGCCAGAAGAAGAGCAATTGTATATATAACAATCAAAAGTCTTTTCTTCCTCCAATATGGCATAATGTCCCTTGACAATTTTCCCTCCATTTCCTATATACTCTTTATTTTAAGCTAACTAAGCTTAAACCCAACATTTCTTTGGTTCTTTAAAATAAAGCAAAATAACTTAATTTAAACATCTTACTACTACTGATCAGTTATTTCTCTAAAATGCATGATTTTGGATCACTTAATCAAAAAAGAGGAATAAGAGCTAAGCCCAAAATTGGTCACCTTTGATAGTCCGGTGAGACAAATAACGCAAACCAAGAACCCAAGTGTAGTAACCAAAAAGTACATTCGTGTTAACACATCAATCTCTCGAAAAAGCAAATAAATAAATTCCACCCTTAATACTAAATAAAAAACACAAACAGGTATCAACCTAATCCCTAATTACTCGTCCAATTATCCTTATTTTCTTCAATTTAATAAATCTGTCTTTTTATGTGGGGATTGTCTTTTGGCCCTTCGGATTAGATAAATCCTCGTCTTAGCGGGTATCTAGACCTGCATTAATTATAATCTAGACTAGATAAACTGAAAAAGAAAAAGAAAAAAGATCAGATTTTATTTTATTTCTGGCTTTTTCAGCTGAAATCTTTTTTTCATAGATTTTCGCTCACAGATAAATCCTTTGTGGTTTGCCTATTTTTCTTGAGCTGAAACGCTTTTTGAGAAGAAAAGATGATGTGGGACGAGTGGGGCAATGATTTCCGACATGAATACGAGGAAGAACAGCATCAGCATCATCAGCAGCAAGAAGAGGAGGATTCTTATCTCAAATTTGATTTCTTGTCAGTTTTATCTAAGCCTAAGGTATTCACATAATCACACGTGTTTTCATTCTTTGATGTCTCTGCTTCTTGTCTAAGGCTTATCTGCGGAATTGTTTCTTATTTTGGTGAAATTTGTGTCAAGTTTGTAATTTTGATTGGTGGGTTTTTCATTTCTTGAATGTGCATGTAGGATTATTATGAGATAGTGGAAGTGGATTTTGGTTTTATTTTCTGGAATTGTGTCAAGTTGCAGTTTTAACTTGTGAGTTTTGCGTCTCTTGAATGTTTCTGTAGGATTACTATAGGATACTGGAAGTGGATTATGATGCCACAGAGGAGGTCATTCGGTCCAATTATATCCGTCTTGCTTTGGTTAGTTTTCACTCTCTCCATCTTAAAATCAATTCTTTCATACCTGGTTTTTATGATATTTCCACTTTGTGAGTGTTAAACATTTGAGCATTTCCTTGTATCTGAATATGTGGTGTGCCTATCTCGTTTTCTTAGTTTTAGCATTTATTATAAATTTCATTATGGCGACAGAAATGGCATCCGGATAAGCAAAAAGATCAGGATAGTGCTACTTCAAAGTTTCAGGAAATAAATGAGGCATACCAAGGTTAGTTCTTTTTCCACATTTAAGCTTTACTCGTTTTTTTTTTTTTTTTTGGGGTGTTTACCAGGCTACTTTTAAGCCTTTCACATATCGAAGTTGATCAAACATGGAGTTTTCAGCCTACTATCAGTCAATGTGTTTGAATGAGTA